TGCCTTATTTTATGTGGTTTCTTTATACGTGTACGTTTTATCTACGTGCGTTCCTTGTATTTGCTCCATTATTTAACTTAGTTCCAGAAGGTTGACATCATTTTATAGTACGTTTGCCTTAGCAGCGTAATAAACATAACATAGCATAAGTAATACGGCAATGAAATAATATAAGTATAGGAAATGAAATAATATAGGAAGTTAAATGAATATAGGAATTGAAATAATATAAATAAATACGGAACTGAATAGGGAACTGAGAATGGGCTCCGGATGAACGTGAAGAAGACTAACTACTTCGGCCTCGAGGTGCACGGATCAATCTTCGACGGTCTCGGGAAAACCATCGAGAGGGTTCAGGACTCCTGATACCTGGGGAATGATCTAGCCGGTGATGGTAGCGTTGACCAGGCCGCAAAGGCCCGAATAAAAACGGCATAGATGAGGTAAAGGGAATTCACCGATATCCTAAATGACCTTTTGCGCTCGAGAACGCTTAAAGAAGATGTGTACCTTCCGTGGTAAGGCCCACAATGCTCTACAGCAATGAGCGTTGCCCCGCAAGTGAACGGCATGAGAAGCACCTTCATTCCTCTGACAATGAGATGTGGATGCTCAGATGGGGCTGCAGTTGGAGGCGACTGGAACGGGTTAGAAACGAAGACAACAGGGCATTCATGCATACAGCCCAAGTCCACCTGAAGAAGAGAGGGTAGGGTAGCGCCTGCGATGTTCCGGGCATGTGCTGAGAAGACCACAGAATCACGATTGGGGGGCAATGGATTTCGAAGCTCAGAGTAAGCGACTACGAGGAGCTCCAAAGAAGAGATGGCGGGATGACACAACCATTTTTATGCATCAGATGAGCAAGCTCACTGAGACGCCCGATGTTGAAAGAACGTGGAAGATAAATTGTATTTACGAAACTACGATCTGTCCCATACTACTAAAAGAGCGTGAAAAGTTTTTAGCTAAGGCTACACAGGGATTTGCGTTTTTAGCTAAGGCTACCCAGGGATCGATCAACATGGTGCTGCTTTTGTTCTCTCAAGCGGTCCACTACATACATATCTCACAGGCGTTGGAGCAGCTCTTCTCCGGAAAGATAAATCAAGCGCGAATTCTCTTATTAGGAATCCCATAGCCGGGGTTTGAAAGAAAAAGAGTTTTGAGGATTTCCTGAGCAACTCATAGGACAGTTTTGAACGACAGAACTAGCAAAACTGCGCTACTCTGAAGGATGAGTGCAAATGCGGTGAAATTTTCAGCGGTGAGCAAAATTGGTGAGGAAAATATTCACTTTAATTAAATCACCTAAAAGTTATGGTGCTAGCCATCCACTAGTTTCTCAGTATTACTCATTGGTACACTAAAATCGCGTTAACGACGGCACCGAGACAAGCCATCTCAAGAACTGATGAAACGGAAAATATTCCCAAAATTCAAACACCATTTTGATGCAACATCGTGATCAATTTCCAACTGTTCAGACTTTGTATATATTCTTTTTTACAACCCCAAACAAAATTACTCAACTTGGCATCAAAATCGTAAAAGTATGATGAAGGATAAAGGATAAAGTTCTCGGCGTTAATCAGTTTCGTCTGAGGGATGCGTCCGCCCTCGACTTCCATTCGGAATCGTAGTGGCGTAATGAGTGCGTATGTGGCCTCTACAATGACTTGCGGTGGCCAGCCGATGTACGAGTCAGTGCTTTTGTCCTCCCAGAGGAGTCTGGTACCAATTCAACGACCCCGGAGAGATGGAAGGCTTGGTCGGCAGAAGCGGATATCGATCCGGGATCCGAACCCCTGACCGTGCCTGTGATATAGTGCTCCACTTGCCACTACACCTCCTCCGCCCTAAAAGTATCACTTGTATCACCTGTCGTCCCGTTGATCGTCGATTTCCTAGAGCGGGCGCCAGTAACGTCTCCATTCGTCCCTGTCACGAGCTAGAGTGGTCCAATGAATCGCTCCAGGGACACGAGGATCAACATTCGTTCAGAGCTTTCGTGAGGAAGTCTGACCATCTCGTTGGCGGCCGTCCTGGAGTTCGTTTGATGTCCCGAGGAATCCAGTCAGTAAACGCCCTGGTCCAACGGTCATCACAATATCGCATAACGTGTCCGGCCCACCTGATCTTCGATTTCTTGACGTATTCAACGGCATCC